AAACCATACCAGCATATGTAGAGGCTTATTTTCTCCGTTTTCGGAGAAAATCAGCAAGCAGTGCGAGAACTTCGTTCACGGGGTGGTTTTGCTTTTTAAAGTTTAGCAAATTGTAGCTAGAGCCTGATTAGCATAAAAGTAATGCAATTGTTTTGTAATCAATAGAAGTAAGTGCGATACTTGCATTGGGCTGACAAATAGCTTGCTTATTTTCGGCTGACGTAGCACTGCACGTAAGAGCTAGCGCCTGAATAGAGGACGTTAATAAAATATTAAACTTAATAGTCTTAGCTTACTTATGTGATAGTAAGCTAAGAAGTAGAATACAAAAAAGGACTAGTAGTCAAGTGGTCACGACATAGCTCTTTCAATGCTACCATCGTAGGTTCGAATCCTATCTAGTCTAAAGCGGATTGGTGTAATAGAAACACATTTGGCTCATGTCCAGAGGTTAGAGGTGCAAGTCCTTTGTCCGCGTAGGGCTATAACTTAATAGGTAAAGTGTACTGCTCATAACAGTAATTATAAGTGTTCAAGTCACTTTAGCCCTAAAAAGCGGCCATGGGTTAATGGTAAACTGGTCGATTTCCAATCGATTTATGTCAGTTCAAGTCTGACTGGCCGTACAAGGCGCGGCGGAACAAGAAGAGGGGAGCTTACGCCTGGCGGAGCACGAAAAAAAAATGTATTTTTTTTACTGCGTGCGAGCTTCGGATTTTCTGGCGCCTAAGGCGCACTGAAAATAAGCCAACCAGCCTAAAAAAATACGCTACTCCTCGAGCTCCGTTCTTTAAGAGCTTGCGACCTAATTAGATCGTTTAGTGATAAAATGTCACAACTTTAGTTAAATAAAATCCAAGTGGTGGAATCGGTAGACACGACAAACTTAAGCTTTGTTGCTTTAGGGCATGAAGGTTCAAATCCTTCCTCGGATACAAGGGACGAGGGTGGCGCAAGCTAGCAAGCTATAGCTTGCTAGCTTGCTAGCTTTCAAACTACATCTATGGAGGGCAGCGCTAGCGAGCAACTTCATTCTAACAAGCGAAGTTGCCGTATACCCATAGAATAGCGCTGCCCGCAAATTTTCAACCGATAAGGTTAAGTCTTAATTAAGGCGATAATCTATTCTATATAGATAAATTTGATAAAATATACTAGCGCTGTTTCGGTGACGGGGATGAACAAAGTTCCTCCCTTCCGGTATAGGCTAAGATGTAATTTTATTGCTATCCTAAATATTAGGTCAAAATAAATATAACTAAATATGCACTACGGTTTTATACTCCCATTCCTACGCATTATTCTAATTAGCCAGCTACAAAGATATAGACTTTGTATAGCAAGCTTATGGAAAAGTTATCCAGAGGAGACTTCGTCCGGCGCGAACTATTCGTTCGCGCCGAAGGCGTGATTAATCTTTAATAAGGTGCGGAGCTCGAGCTTAAGCTCGAGCTATATTCTTTGAATCAGAAACACTAAAAAAAAAATACGAGCTTGCGCCTTAGGCGTTAGCTCTTCTAGCTTGTGCCTATATCAAGTTTTAAGTATAATATTTATTTATGTATGAGTTACACCTATCCTAATAGATTGGGATTTATATATAGAGGTGTTAAAAAATCTTCTATTAAATTTGGGATTATTGGAGGCTAAATTAATTAAATGAGATAGTAATATATACATATTATTAGGTTATAGTCATAACTCTATATATGGATTTAGGACTTGTATAATTATAGTTTTAATACTATTTATAATCTTTCCCTTACTTTTTATAATACAAAATTATATTTTTATAATTCTAAGTTTATTAAGTGCAATATTAGTTAAAGCTTTAGCTCTAAATTTTTATAAAAAACATTTAGGCGCAAGCTCATTCTTTTATGGCGACTACGCCGGCCATACAAAGGGGAGTAAATGAGCCAAATTAGTAGGCTTGGTTAGACAGATAATTAATAATATAGATAAAATTATAAAACATTTATTTAAAATATGAATAATTTCGGTTATCATAGTTTTTATTTTTAGATCTTTGATAGCTACTATGTTATTAAATTTAGATAATAATAGTTTTATATCCACAATATTAATACTTACTCTTCCTTTACCAATATTTTTATATTTGCTAAATTTTATTGTTAAATATCTAAAGAAACAACCTATAGAAGATGAAGATTATTATTTGTATAATAATTATGTAGTTGATAGAGTAAATCTATACAGAATAAGCTATATTATATTTATAAATTATTTAATTAGGGCGCAAGCTCTCTATTGTTATTCAATAAGTATATGAATAATAACAATGGGGATTATTGTTATATTGATAACATTATTTATAATTTATATATCATATGGTTTGCTGCAAATATATAAGCAAGCCGCTAGTAGACAAAGTGTATTATCCTGCAGGGGGCGAAGCTCGAGCTTGCAGATTTTCTGGCGGAGCACAGAAAATATCAAAAATATATTAGGGGGAGAACTTCGTTCCCGCCAGGCGCGAACGAAGTCGCTCGGCACAGTAATAAATAAGCACGAGCCTTTAGCACTTAAAGCCGCCCCATTTGAATCATCGGCTGCTTATATAACCGCATTTATAGCCCTAACTCCTTTTTTTCAGGAAGGATGTAATAAAGGGTTTATGGAGTATTATTTAAATACAGGTAATGCTAAATATTGCGGGGACTGGAAACGTGTAATTTTCAAAACTCCAGGTGTATTAAAGATAGGATCAACTGTAAATATCATGGAGAATAAAAAAATCGAGAATACATATGCTGTTGAAGAATCTAGACAAAAGGATCTACTAAGGGATTATAGATCTCAATTAGATAAATCTCCTATTATTAATATGACTTGAAGACTTAGATATAATGAAGGTGTCCAAAGATCGCAAGATAAATTCACAGTAAAACCTTTAAGTTATTTTACTAATCCTCAATTTTATGGGGCGGTTTCTCTTGTTTTAAAAGGGAGATTTTTAATAGTTAATATAATTAGACGTGACTCGCCAGGTTGTGTCTTTGTACCTACTTATTATTTACCAGATAAAAATGATCCTAAAAGTTTGACTAAAATTCTTCAAACTGTTCAATTATTAGAGCGTAAATATGGTATAGTGCTGCCCAGCCGAGGGGCGGAGAGGCTAAACAATAGAACTAATGGTTTAGTAATTTACACTCAAGCCGAATCTATTGACAGTAAAAGTTTATTTAGAGTATGAAGGCCTTCAATTCATTTTACTGAGCCGGAATTTAAAACTGTTAATAATTATTATAAAGTAAAAAGTAAAGATGTACTTAGACTTAGAGATTTTGAGACTGCTGACTCTGTTATGCTTGCAAAAAGTATCCGTGAAATGGTAAAAGTTCATAACAATTATCTTAATAAACATGAATCTGGTGAAAAACTAGTTCATCAGAGTAAGTCTCTTGCTGAGTCGGTGACTAAACTTGAATATATGGTAGACAAAAATTATAGACAATTAGTGGAATTTTACATAACTAAAGGTCAAGAAGCTAACCCTAAGGATTTCAAGGTGTTGAAGCAGGATCGTACAGATAAACACACACTTAAATATTATGATTTATTGGAAAGAGGCTGGTATAAAACCAGATCTCAAATTGCTAGAGAGAAGTCTCTACTTATGCGGGGGGGGGGATAAAGATATAATAGAAGTAATGAAAGCCAAACTTGAAAGATGTAATCGTAACTATGTATATCTTGATCGTCGTAGCCATTTTTTTGAAACTCGTCGTGATTATCCTATAAATAGTTTATTATTAACGGCAAATAATAGTCATATGACTCAATTTAGTATATATAAAAATGGAGTCGTGGAAGGTTACAGGGAAAGACAACAATTGCTAGGTAAATTAGATTCTAGCATAATATTGCCATTAGTTGAATCTAGAATCGAGTTAATAAAAAAAATAGCAAGTAATTTGACTAAAAGTGAATATCAAAATTTAAATTTAGGCGCATGCTCGCATATTTATGGTGTTTCTATTAATAGACTTACATATGAATTTTTTGAACTTAAACCCACTAAGAGTATATATTTTGGAATATCCGAGAGAGATGGTACTTCTCAGCAATGGCTAGACAAAAATATGGATTGCGAAGTTTATAGCATTATAGACCTTAAAAATGATAGTCTAAAGTTACGTGCTCTTTTAAATGAAGGAGAGTCCTTTGATCTAGCTATCCCTAAACATGATTATAATTTGTTGGACAATAAAGATGAGCTATCTATTCGTAGATTTATGGATTTTATTTATCCAAATTCAGATGAATATTTAACTTATCAATCACATAAGGATAATTTTAGTGTTCTTACACAAAAAAGTGTAGGTTTTTCTAAAAATGCTCTAGACTATAAAGGTAAACAACCTAGGGGGGTTAATTACACCAAATATGGGGTACTAAATAGAGTAATAATGGAAAAAAAATTATATGTGGAGTTGCCTTTTGATTCTGATAAACTTTTGAATAATTCACCAAATAAATATCACGGGATATCTTTGAAAGGGAAAAGAGTTATGTTTAATTATGAACCTAAACGAATATTTATAGAGAAGGGCGGTCCTGTAATATCTGCAGATTTTAATATTAATACTATTCGTTTTTATGATGGTAATACTATGGTTAAATCTAAAGATAATACTCTAGTTAAATCTAAAGGTAATCTAGTTGGATCTGGATTTGAAGAATATTACTCTATATTCCTAAATAAGCCTAAACCTAAAGGAATTATAACTAGTGGAACTATATTAGAGGTTGTTGCAACTTACCCGGCTGAGCATACTTTGCCTGTTTTTAGATTGTTAGGTTATAATAATATATCCATCGACAGTCAATCTAGAACGGGTTATACAGAAAATACACCTGTAATGACATATAGCCTTAAAACGAGCCATTACCGTACAGATACGACGGCCCCCGAAGAGTCAATTAATAGTACTGTCATACATATAGAATCACCTCTTGCGCCTTCAATCCCAATGGATGTGGATGAGGATGAGGATATCTATGGTTATAGTGGAGATGAGGATGATAATAGTGCAGTAGCTGGGGCTTCTGCAGTGCAAGCGGCTGAGCCATGGCAAGCTATTATACCTTCAAGGCCAATGGATGTGGATGAGGATGAGGATATCTATGGTTATAGTGGAGATGAGGATGATAATAGTGCAGTAGCTGGGGCTTCTGCAGTGCAAGCTGCTGAGCAACCGGAGGCTATTCTGGCTACAGAAGATTCCCTTATGGAGCTACCTTTAGAGGATAGCCCAGGTTATATGCCTTATTCTGAGGAGGCTGAAAGTCCTGATGATAATGCTAGCGATAGTTCGCATAGTACAGTAGTGCCTTCGGCTGGCCAAGTGGGTGAGTCAGAGGAGGTTACTCTAGTATCTGCAGATGATATTTGTATAGAAGAGGCTCCTTCACCACATTTTTTTATACCGGAGCCAACTCCAGAGTATATACCTAGCTACAGCTATAGCCCTGTTAATACGCAAGAACCAAATGTTCTTAACCGAGAGGCTATGGAGTTAGATGCAGATTTGGTTTACGAAGTTATGATGAATGCTAGTGCGCAAGCAGCAATAGAAACTCTAGATCCTATCCTACTTTATCCTAGCCGACCTAGTAATCCGGAGCCAGTGCAAGCTGAAGATAGTCCACTCTCCAGTATAGGAGACAGTGAACTGGACGAACTAGAGCAAATATTTAATAGAGGGGCAAGCTCTGCTTTAAGGGAGGTAGACGCTTCTGAGGAGCAAGACGCTCCGGTGGAAGCAAGGGTATTACAAGATAATCCTAGGTCGAATGATATAGAACCGAGATCTTTAACTTCAGAACCATTAGAGGATAAAGACCTGATGAATAGCTCGAATTTAGCTTCCGAGGGGCAAGCTCGTTATATTAATGAGGGGGGTGCTTCTAACTTCGGCGTAGCCGGAATACACGGAGCAAGCCATATCTCTTATTCGGGCTTCCAAGATAGAGAAGTTAATATGACTGATGGTTCGGATAGCGAAGGGGACTCTTCGGATAAAAGTAGTTCACCTAATTCAGTAGTTACAGTCGTGCCTTGGGCTGGCCAAGTGGGTGAGTCAGAGGAGGTTACTCTAGTATCTGCAGATGATATTAGTAGAGAAGAGGCTCCTTCACCACATTTTTTTATACCGGAGCCAACTCCAGAGTATATACCTAGCTACAGCTATAGCCCTGTTAATACGCAAGAACCAAATGTTCTTAACCGAGAGGCTATGGAATTAGATGCAGATTTGGTTAACGAAGTTATGATGAATGCTAGTGCGCAAGCAGCAATAGAAACTCTAGATCCTATCCTACTTTATCCTAGCCAGCCTAGTAATCCGGAGCCTCCAATAGAGACTATAGATCCACTTACTTCTGGGCAAGCGGGTGAGATAGAGGAGGCTACTATAATACCCTCAGGTGAGAATAGTTCTAGTGAGGGGGTTCCTTCGCCGCATGGTAAGGTGATAGACAGAGATAATGCTGGTATTGCTTCTCCTGGTATACAGCCAGGACAAGATAACACAGGTATGGATATAGACGAAGATAGTTTGCACGCTGATAACCCAGAGGGTAATGTGCTATATGATACTTGTATGGATATAGACGAAGATAGTTCACATGAAGAAAATCAAGAAGGACGGGCAGATCGCGATTCATTTTTAGATTTTGATCCTTGTGGTGCTGGTACTGATTTTTTTGGTTATGATTATCATCAAGAGGTGGTAAGACGTTGTGAGCAGGAAGCTTTAAACATACAGGCTAGATATGAAGACCTATCTGGTAATAGTCAGGTTCCTTCACCACTTAATGTGGATACTGAGGCGCAACCTCTTCCTATTATTAATACTTCTTATCAGAGTGGGGAGAGTGCAGATGATCGTAACAGAGTAGAGGTTGCTACGACTGCACCCTCAGATACGCAAGCTAGCCAGGAGGAGACGACTGATGATATCTTAGAACCAAATGTTCTTAACCAAGAGGCTATGGAATTAGATGCAGATTTGGTTAACGAAGTTATGATGAATGCTAGTGGGCAAGCAGCAATAGGAACTATAGACCCCATCCTACTTTATCCTAGCCAATCTAGAACGAAGTAGCTCGCTATAAATAAGGCGCAAGCTCTTACTGTTAGATAGCCATAGGAATATATAAGCTAGGGTCAAGCTCGAATATATAAGCTATCTAGCAGTAAAGGGGACATAATTTATTTGGTAGAATGCTGACCTTGCATGTTAGAAGGCTCGGTTCGAATCCGAGTGTCTCCATAAAAGCACATGTAACTCAATCGGTAGAGTGAAATATTGAAGCTATTTTTGTTGTAAGTTCAAGTCTTACCGTGTGCATATGAGATAATTAAGGCTGGCTGGCTTATTTTCGGAGAAGGCGGAGCTCCAGCTAGCTCTTCAAAGAATAGGAATTCGCTAGCTCGCTAAGCAGAAATAGAAATTAGTAGCCAGGGAGGCGGGGGGCGGCTAACCTCCTATCGTTCGCGCCGTCTAAGCAATAAAGCACGGCGCAAGCTCGTATTTTTTTTTACGAGCTTGCGCCGTGTGGAACGAAGTTCCTACCGCAAGCTCTTCTTATTTTTAGACTAGCTATGAATGCTTCAGCAGTAGTTTGCAGTACAACGTACTCGGTAGGGTATGTATGTTGTGCTATAAGGGACTTTAGTATAATGGTGAATGCATATGACTTTTAATCATTAAAATGTAGGTTCGAATCCTGCAAGTCCTATATTTCTGTGTAGCATATATAGCTTGCGCTATTCTTCTAGCTAGCTAAAGCCAGTTAGAATTAGTGCATATTCAGCAACTAAGAGGAGTAAAAGAGCTAGCGCCTAAATACAGTAAAAAAAATATATTTTTTTTTTTTCGAGCTTCGCGCCCGCCAGCAAGCTCTTTTAGGCTGGCGTCATAAGCTCGCACGAACGAAGTTGCCTCGTGCTGGCGTGCGAAGCTCGCACGCTTGCTTGAGCTCCGCCTTCGGAGAAAATCCGCCAGGGCGAATGGAGTACGAAGTTGCTCGCCGTGGCGGGACAAGCTAAGCTGGCCGCTTCAATAGCATGAAAATAGCCGTCAGCTAAAGCTATAGCAAGCTATAATAATATAGCTATACACAGCAAGCTATGTCTATGAAGGGAACAACGATGCAGCTAGTTAAAACTAGCACTATTATAAGCAGGCATGTCGGAATGGTAGACGAAGTCGTTTTAGGTGCGACGGGTATTATTACCATAGAGGTTCAAGTCCTCTTGCCTGTACACTAATAATTCTTTAGTTTAGGGAGTAATTAGTGGTTCAAGTCATCTTGCTATGGTCGAGCTAGCGCCTAATATTTTCTGGCGGAGCACTGAAGGCGAAGCTCCAGCAAGCTCGTATATTTAGGCGCTAGCTCTTCTGGCGCCTAAGGCGCACTGAAAATCCGCCAGCTCTTTCAGGCTTGATTCCACCCGCAATATCCTGTCGATTAATGGGTAGATCATAAATTTTTGGTATTTACAGTCGGTGTTCGAATCACCGCAGGATAATTCTATTTTAATACTAGCTGGCTTTAGCTTTCTAGCTAGTAATAGACTCCTTGCAAGCTAAGCAGCTTCGATTAAAGTAGCCTAATCATAGCCAATTTGCTGACTCCTGCGCAAGAGTAGCACACTTATTTAGCTATAACTACAAGCTAAAACTAAAGCAGCTAAAGCTAGATTTATTAAGGTAGACATAACTCAATAGGTAGAGTGGTTATTTGTGGTGTAACTTGTTCTCGGTTCGATCCCGAGTGTTTACCCTTATAAGATAAACATAGTTTTTACTTAGAGCTTGCGCCAGCCTCAGTAGTTTAAATGGTTAAAACTCTAATTTCATACATTAGTAATGAGAATTCGATTTTCTCCTAAGGCTCGCCTCCATATATTGGTTGGCTATTATATAATAGTCTAGCGGACTACCAAAGCGCACTAAAAAAAAAAAAATGATCATATTATCAATAGTACTAGTTTTACTTTCAAACGCCGTCAATATAAGACGAGATTTATCGATACTATTTAATAGGATATCGATATTAATATTAATTTATTGTATTTTACATGATATGTCTTCTTTAGCTGTTATAACTAAAGGAGTAGGTTTACATGGTGGTTTATTACTTATGACAAATATCACACAAATATTCCATATTTTTATCTTTTTAGTTAGTATATTAATATTACAATTAACTAGTTTTTATCCTAGAAAAGTATGAGTATCAGAATATTCTTCTTTAAAAGATTTATTGTTATATAAATTTATTTATTATAACACGAAAATAATAAATAAAATGGGAGAACATTTTAAAATTATTGAATATCCTTTAATTATACTATTTGTAATTACAGGAGCAGTATTATTAATGTCAACTAATGATTTAGTATCTATTTTCCTGGCTATAGAATTACAAAGTTATGGTCTTTATATATTAAGTACTATATATAGAAATTCAGAACTATCTACTACAGGGGGTTTAATATACTTTTTATTAGGAGGATTAAGCTCATGTTTTATCTTATTAGGAACTAGTTTATTATATGCTAATTCAGGTACTACTAACTTAGATGGTTTATATATCATTACTAGTATAAGTGATCTTTCTACAAATTTATGATATACACCTTATTATATTAATCTTTCTTTAGTAATTTTTACAATAGGATTCTTATTTAAAGTAAGTGCAGCACCATTTCATTTTTGATCACCGGATGTTTACGACGCTATACCTACAATAGTAACAACATTCGTGGCTATAATAGCCAAAATTTCTATATTTATATTATTATTACAATTAGTGTATTATACTAACAGTAGTTTTTCAGAAATGAGTTGAACATTTATTTTACTAATAAGTTCACTATTCTCATTAATAATAGGAACTGTGGTAGGTTTAACTCAATTTAGAATTAAAAGATTATTTGCTTATAGTACTATATCTCACGTAGGGTTTATACTTTTAGCATTAGGTATATCTAGTGTTGAATCTACTCAAGCATTTATATTCTATTTAACACAATATTCTATAAGTAATTTAAATGCATTTGTGATATTAATAGCTATAGGGTTCTCTTTATACTGTTATATAAGTGAAAACAAAGAACATGAAGAATTAATGGACAAAAATAATTCACCTATTCAATTAGTAACTCAATTGAAAGGTTATTTTTATATAAATCCTTTCTTAGCTATAAGTTTAGCTATAACTATCTTTTCATTTGTAGGTGTTCCTCCTTTAATAGGATTCTTTGGAAAACAAATGGTGTTAAGTGCAGCCTTAGATAAAGGTCTTGTCTTCTTATCTTTAATCGCAATATTAACTAGTGTTATAGGAGGAGTTTATTATTTAGGTATAATAAAAGAAATGTTCTTTAGTTTACCCGAATATAAAATAAATCCATTATTAGAAAATCTAGAATTAAAAGGTAATGTTTTAGATAATAATCAAAAAATAATTAATAAATTAAACTTTAATTATAAAAATATAGCTATATCAAGTCCTATTTCTTTTGTAATTTCTATAATTACACTTGTTATTCTATTATTTTTATTTATGAACAAAGAATGGCTAAGCATGGGTACCATATTGGTACAAATTTTATTTAACAATTAAATGAGTAGTGTAACTTTTCTTTTTGTTTTTGTTACTATTTTAACAATAGTTTTTTTACTTCTTAATTTCATATTTGCTCCTCATAACCCATACCAAGAAAAATATAGTATATTTGAATGTGGTTTTCATAGTTTCCTTGGTCAAAATAGAACTCAATTCGGTGTAAAATTCTTCATATTTGCATTAGTTTATCTTTTATTAGATTTAGAAATATTAGTCGTATATCCATATGGTATAAGCGTTTATGAAAATGGTATTTATGGATTAATAGTGGTGCTAATTTTCATAGGTATAATTACAGCAGGATTTGTATTTGAATTAGGAAAAAATGCATTGAAAATAGATAGTAGACAATCCAATAATTATTTTTATAAATCAAAAAAATTTATTAATATGTTTACTGAACATAAGTAGTGGTAAATAGAGCTAGCGCCTAAACTATTACATACCCTAGCCTCCACCCCATATAGCCTTAGTGAATTAATTTGTGAAATTAGTAGCTGTGCTAAAAAATAATTTCTAACTATGCATAACCTAGCTAGGCTGGATTCTTAGTAGTCCGGCCTATTAGGGCGTTAGTTTATTTAAAAGTAAACTAAGTACAATATACTATTTATATCAATACATACGAATGTAACTGTAGGTATAAAATTCTTAGGATGTTAGAATCGTCAAAACTTATTGGAGCAGGACTGGCAACTATTGGTCTAGCGGGAGCTGGAGTAGGAATAGGTGTAGTGTTTGGATGTTTAATTCTAGGTGTGGCTAGAAACCCTTCCCTTAAAAATCAATTATTTTCATACTCTATTTTAGGGTTTGCTTTCTCAGAAGCTACAGCCTTATTTGCTTTAATGATGGCTTTATTATTATTATATGTTGTATAATAATCTTTTTATTAACTTGCTGGCGCGGCAAAGCTGCTTCCTTTGGATATCCTTAGCTTGCTTATTTTCTCCGAAGGCGGAGCTCAGCCGCCTGCAAACATAATTACTTCTAGCTATACATATTTAGTGCTCCGCCAGAAGGCGGACTTTGCAAATAGATTTAGCTAATATGATTATTAGTAGCCATGATGGTGGGGAGAACGAGAGCAATATCGTTCTGCCAGTGCGTGCTTCGCACGCCCTCGTGGCTATTCGAGCTTGCGCCTGAATCAGAAGCACGCACCCCCCCCCCTATTTAAAGCTAAAAACCAAAGCTAGCTTTACAACGGGCGGCAATTCTATTATATTTATACTACAGCTACTACCGGTAGGCTGGCCACATATAGCAAGTAGTAGCTATATAACGAGGAGCTTCGCGCCCGCCTACAAACACTCCTTATAGACGGGCGAAGCTCCTCGTGGCCGGCCAGCTAAGTGCTGTATATATACGCATATAATTAGAAATTCTATATTAAAAATTTATATATGAAACACTTATTTAATACATTTATTAATTTTGATGCACCTATGCCTTGAGGTATATA